TCTTTAGGTTAAGGCAAGTGTTAAGTTGCGTACACATTCCCCTGTGCTTCAAAAGGCATGGAAATAGTATGTTAAGATGTCTCCTATACATTTTGCAACAAGTAAGCAGTAAACAATGCTTCAGTTTTGCCTTCAACTTGCATAGGAAAAAAACATCAAGGATAAGTATGAGTGCAGGGAGGCAAGTTAAAAGTAAGCACAATACATGAAACTGTAGGATATATTTTATGCATTGTGTAAGTATTAAGATAGGCTCCTTAATTTCCATTCTTTAGAGGGTAAAGCTCCCAGGGTAGCTTACATGACATCAATTCAAAAAACCTATATTGCAAAATAATAAAACACGTCCAAGACATGCCCTGCTTGTATGCTACATCTAAAATATATGATTCAAAGGAAAAAGGATGAAGAGGGGAGAGGAACCCAAGAATTCAGGTTTCAATTCTTGGTTATGCGTTTAGTTCTTTCAAGGAATAGTTGGGATGAAAACAGCTTGAAGAGGGGAGGAGCCAAAAGCAGTAAGTTTCTTAACAGATCCAGTGGAGAGTCCCTACTTCCCATCGCTTCCTCTGCTGTAGCTAGGTGACAGTAAGTAATTATCATGATTTGGAGTAATTGAGTTTGTAGTTTTAAGGTCGATTTTTATATTGTAGATTGTTTTTCTGTTTAATGAAGTTGATTAACTGAACAGTGTGAGCCATCTTGTGAGGGTGGAGGAATTAGCAGCACAATCTAACTTCTCTGTGACTTTAATAGTTAGGATGTACTAATCTTTAAAGTATGAGTGGGAAACCTGAGTAGCCCTCCAGACGGTATTGAACTTCAGTGCTGAAATCAGTTTATTTTGTAGATTACCTTGCCAGTAACTACTGTTTTGCATTATAACTTAGAAATGCACAATGAAGTTTGACCAAATAATTGATAGCCAAATTCCTGCAAGATTTCTAATGTAGCAGTAGGAAAAACCAAAAGTTTGTTTAAGCTATGAAGATAACAGCACAGAGATTGGGTCATCTGTGGGTCAATGCAGAAAAAGTTACTCAGTTTTATTGTGTGGTAGTTTTCTGAAATTTTGACTGTTTCAGAAAGTAGTTATCTTTTCCACCAGTTATCTCATTTTCCCATGGTAAGGCCTCCACACTTTGTGCAATTGCAATATGTTTCATGGAGAATAAAGCTATGAGTAGCTTATTAGCCATGATGGTTGTATACTGACTGTAGTATTAGAGGCGACTCTTCTTCTGTGTATTAGTTGCTGTGAAATGTGAGCACAGGGTACTGATGTGCTTGCGTCTTGAGACAACTCATTTGCTCCTGTGTACAAGATCAATGAAAATATCCTCCTGGTTGGGATAGGACTATTTCCTGATGCTGAGAGCTTTATGTGGCATTTTCTGCTTTTTATGGATAAGGATTAGAATCCTGGTGATACCTGCTGCATGGTAGGCCACTTCAAAGAATGGACAATATTTTTATCCCACTACTGAATTTGCCAGTCATAAGAGAAGGGTCTGTTTCTCTGGGTAGATGATAGATGGCAGTTAACATAGGTTTTCTTGTGTAATGCCTGTTTGGCTAGACAGAAGGTTCACATTTCTCATGACAACAAAGGTTGTGTTTTGTAGGCTATGGATTACACCATCACTTTATGTTTGACTCTGTTGAGTGGGGCTCAGTCTAGAATTCAGAGGATGTTTAAACATTTGGCCCTGAACTCTGTAATTCTGCAAGCTATTCAAGAGAAGTTGCAGGAAACCCTAACTTGACGTTAACAGAATGTAAGGGCCTTCACAATGGCAAGGAAGTCTTAATGAAGCTATACAATGCTGACTGCCAGACCTATCACCCTTGTGTCACAAGCACCCTTTTCTGGTCACAAATAGGCAGGTACCCACCAAAATTCCAATGTTGAAATTGTTTCTTATTTTTCTCTGACAGTGTGTTTCATCCATTATTGTTTGTTCATACTACCAAAGAGTTGTTGAATTTCATTTGTGTCCCCTGTGGCTACTTGAACATGTTTAGTCCATATGCATATCTTTGTGGGATGTGATTGTCCTTGATGATTTTTTAAAAGACATATATCTGTACTTCTGCAAAACTTGGGCCTATCTCAAACCCACTGGTAATTTCGTCTTATTTATCGGTGGCCCTGTATAGCCAGCCACATTCCCATGGGTACTTGCAACCTGAATTTGTTCTTAGAGGGGGTGTAATAGATAATTTGGCTGGAGAAGATAAACTCATTGAGTTTCATATAGACATTTCAACTGTTATAGGGATATAATCAAATATGAACTTTATCATTCTTAGATCTTTTGCTTTGATTGCTTCTGCATTCTTATTTTAATCACTAGTTATATAAAACATAGTAGGAACATGTTGACAAATTGAGTTATTTTTGATTTCAAAGGAAGAATATGAAGAGTTATCTTAACAAGGTAGTGATGACCTTCTGATTTAAAGGGACTTCATGTTTATACAAATTGTGTCCCAACTGGATTGTAACTACTGAAGCATTTGCTTTAGGAATATGTGCAGCAAAAATGCATCTCTCTGAATAATACATGTAAAGAACAGAATGGGGTTCACTAAAAATAATCTGTTTAGATGTGCCCACATTGCAGCAATTGTGTAGTGTGAAAGAGAGCAAGACATTCAAATTGTCAAGAAAAAACGCACTTAAAAATAAGGCTCTTGACACCTAACCCCCCCCCCCCCCCTTTTGGAACTACTTGAGTAGGTAATCAGATTGTGCTGCTTCTCACTGATTACATCATGATCTGTCTCTGGGATACCTGATGCACATGCATAATGACATTTCTGTGTAGCAATTAATATAATAATGAACATTATTATCTAGGGAAGAGTACTGCATTTTCCTGGGTACAAAATGTAGTAATCTCACTACTAAAGTGCTTTCAGGAAGAAAGACACACAGATGCACACACAACTTATGCTTCTGATACATAAGAAATTGGTCATGTGGAAAAACATAAAGAATATCTTAATAATTGATATTACCTGAGTTTATGAACCATGGCATGCATAAATGGAATGATGGGGGTTAGGTTGAGGGGGCCGAAGAAGTCTTCGGCCTGTTGTGATATTTCTGTAGAACCAAATATGGAACTGACAAATATAGCCAATAGCTGTTCATTTACAGTGTACCTAATGTGATGTCCACAATTGCCTTTTTAGAGAGCTTATTTTGCACTTGATTTTCAAACACAGAAATAGAAAAGAAGCAGTAAATCAGCATATATACAGTGGTACCTTGGCTCATGAACTTAATCTGCTTTACGACTCTGGTCGTGACCCAAATTGGTCATGACCCAAGTCAAATTTCCCCATAAGATTCCATGTAAATATGGTTAATCCGTTCTGAAACCATTTTTTTTTAAAATCACAGGGAAGATCGGCACGATCATGGTTGCACTCGGAGGGGCGGGTGTGATCTCTGGCACGCTTGGTGGGAGAGATGGGCGCAACCGTGGGCACGCTGTGAGGAGATAAGTGCAATTGTGGGCGCAGTTGGTGGGGAAGGGGCATGCTCATGGGCGCACTCATGGGCGCGATGGGCATGGTTGTGGCCATCTCCACCCCAGGCACAACTGCATTGTGTCTGTGCAGGGAAGACAGGCATGATTGCAATCATCACCCGATGTGGAGTTCACGACCTGAGGAAAAATTTTCCTGAAGTTTCTGTTCATGACTCAATTTGGTTGTGAGCTCAGGCATTCGTGAGCTGAGGTACCACTGTATTTGGAACTAAAAATCAAAACAAAATTAGAAGGAAAATAAACACTAGTAGTTTTGCACGGGCATTTGCACAGGAGTTCATTGAACACTAAAATAAGTCGGTTCAGTAGCTTTTACTTGTGTAAGGACTTGTTCAACTTTTTGTTCTACATAGAAAAATCAGTTTGATTCAGACATGGAAGGCCCATGGAAATAATTAATTTTACTTATTTCACATCATCTATTCTAACATGCCTAAGTCTGGACACAACTCTGCATCTTAGTTTCACTATTGTTCTGTAGTCTTCTAGAGCAAGATTCAGCATAGCTCTTCTGTGAAGAAAAGATGCCTTTTGCAGATAGAAACAGCATCTTTGGATTCAAGCCAATGCATAATTTCAAATGAGTATACCTGTTACATCAATTAGCAATTCATTTATTTTTCTGTACCTGATTATAATTTTATAAAGGTATAAATGGATAAATGACAGAATGTACAGTTGTACTGAAAAATCTGAGTTTGCATAATTGCAGTAGATTTTGAACAGTTCTCATTTGTGCTTCCAGATTAAACAGCTTATGTCATATACTTATATTACCTACTGCTTTGAGCATACTTCCTTTTCAAAACAAAACAAATTCCTGTGATGTTAAAGTGGGTAGTAAGCATCCCCTCATTAAGCAGGAGGTTAGTGAGGTATAGTCAATTGGAATATTCCCTTATGAACTTGGAAATTTACAGTTCCAAGTTTGCTTCTGACAGTGCCTCTCTAAATAAGTTTTAGGCAAGCTACTATCTCTGAGCTTCAGTTCTTTGTCTGCTATATTTGGGGATGATAATACTGACTTAGTTTATGGAGTGGTTATAAGGATTACTGGGACAATGTTTGTGAAGTAATCTGAACATTTAGGAGCACTAAGGAAAGAGTAAGATGTATTACTATGAAATATCAATACTAATTATTATAGTTGATTTGGATTCAATTATTGACACATCATAATGCAGCAAGTTTGCAGTGATTAAAGTAAATGTCTTTTTGAAAAAAATAAGATTTTTAAAATACCGGCATTTGAAAGGAAATCAATTCATCAGTATTTGGAGTGTGTGTATTTTAACTGTTTTCTTCACAGTGATGTGCAATAGGAGAAGTGTTTAAAGTGTCAAATATTGCTTAACTCCTGTTCAAAATAGTTTTTCTCCAATAGTTTAAAAAAATCATAGTAAAATGTTGAACATTTTACTTTTTGTTTCTGAATAGGTAAAATACTATAGGCACTTGGCACCTGATCATCTTCTCCAAATATGTCATCGACTAGGACCACTTCTAGAGCAAGAAATTCCTCAGAGTGTTCCAGGAGTGCAGACATTGTTAGGAGCTGGAAGACAGTCTTTGCTTCGTACAAATAAAAGTATGAGTATTTTGCAAAATGATTTGAATGCTTATTCTGTTATGTATATCTATGCTTACATTTGACTTATTTTATAATCAAACAGGTTGTAAGCATGTTGTCTGGAAAGGATCTGCTCTTGCTGCCTTGCACTGTGGAAGACCTCCAGAGTCACCAATAAATTATGGCAGTCCACCTAGTATAGGTAAGAGCCTTACTGCACAAATATGGAACATTGGCAATGCAGCATTCTTTCCTAAAGCAGAAGTTTTGATGTGTGCTTGTTCTGGTCTGTTGCTTCTGCCACTTACAGTTCTTGTATATATTAGTCCTAGTGCTCATAAATCCATATTTGGGAGCTAATTTCAGGCTTGATAAAGGTGTCTTATGTATCCAAGATGGAACTGACTGGATGCTTCTATATGCATTTGCAAGCCTCTTCTGCCCCCCCCCCCACTGCCCACCCCCAAATCTGGGAGACTTAAGTGCTGCTATGAAACCTGCTAGGCAAATGACTATATTGTACAACTGAGAGGCTTCTCTGCTGCCAAAATTCCTTTTCTACCCTGTGCTACCAGTATATATTATTTTTAATAACATGACAAACACTGATTCTGCATTGAAATTGGAAAATGAGTTTCTGGTGATTTCTGCATGCTCTTCCTTCTGCCTTCTTTTTGTTAATCATTTCCATTGAATAGCAACATTGGGAATGTTTGAGGTACCATTGGAGGTCAACTGCTGAATATTCCAAAATTGCCTAGAGAAGAACTGGGGCAAGCATTGGTTACCTACTGTATGCAATAGCTATGCTTTAGCATTTACCCTAAAAGCAAAGGTGGCAGCCAAGAATGGTAATTCCTTGGCAGCATAAATTTGCCTTTGGGGCTACATTGTTTGACTAAATTTGATAGACTTTTGAAGATAAGCTAATGTTAGGCTTAATATTTATCACACAGCTTTTAGAAAACTAACTTAAAAATATAAGATGGCAGCCAGTTAAAATTTACTTTGGGCAACAATTTGAAATCCATAGAAAATACATCATAAAACCAGATTTGTTAGTTGCAGAAGGTTAAAGTTATTGCCCATACATTTTGTTCCAGTACAGCTTCCTAAGCCTTTAGTATTACAGCCTACAAAATGCTTTTTGTTTGATTTTGGATATGCACCTGAATGTGACATATAACATTTTTTTTAATATAGCGGAAACTCTCTTTTCAAGAAAACTGAATGGAAAATACAGACTTGAACATCTTATTCCAACTGCTGTGTATCAACATATGAAAATGCACAAGCGAATCCTAGGCCATTTGTCTTCAGTATATTGTGTAACATTTGATCGAACAGGCAGACGGATATTTACTGTAAGTGGAAATTAATGAAATTCTCTATATGTACTCTTTGTGTTCTTAAGAAATATATAAGACTGTCATAAGTATAGCACAGAAGACAGTTTATGGCAAGAGCTTAAATGGATTCATCTGGTTAAGCACTCATTCTTACTATTGCTGTCCTCCAAACTAGGATAAGTTCTATAGTTTATGTTGGAGAGGAACTACTTAGACTGACCCGGGTCTGTACAGTCTTTGGGTAGTGGAATGTTATTTCAGTGGCTGTCAGAATGCATATTTTGATGGGCTATAAGTAGGGTGTGTGGGGCATCATGTAACACCTTCACATTCTTTTTCTAGAAGAATGTCATACAGATTGTGTCATTACAGATCAACCTCACATTCTCTAGTCTCTTAACAGGGATGGTTTCCTTCTCTGAAAAATACCTGTATGAGACCTGTTTTCTTTGGATATAAACAGAGGTATGTTTCAGAAGGCGGAAACGCCCTCCGAAACGTCAGAATAAGCCAAATAAAGGAGTGGTGCTCCTTACCCCCAGTGTATTCCTGCTTGCTTTATTGAGTGTCCTTATTTTATTTATTCTTTCCTCTTACTGGTTTGTTCTTTGGGTGATAGTCCTTCCTTTTTTTTTGAGTAGGTAAGACAGTATGGATGTGCTTCTTGTATGAAGCATTAACAGAAAGACAGTACTGCTTTTCTAGGTTCATGGGTAGATTTCATTCCAGCACATCCCAAATTCCTTTACCTTGGAGAGGAAAATCTGCAGAGTCAACTTACTATTCCACACCATTACAGCTTTACCCTCATCTTGCCTATTTATTACATAGAAATGACCTAGAAACTGTTTTGGGGAGCATGGCAGACTTCATGTTATTTGCTTTACCTATGTAATGGCTATTTTTCCTCAAGCAATTGTGGCTTAGGATCCTGTGCAGGATGAAGCTGAATTTTGTCTCAAACCAGACTGAGTTCTGTAGTATTTGTTCAATCTACCTAGACTGACAAGGCTTTTATGATCTTGGGGTGACTTAAAGGGTTTTTTTTTTTAGTTGTTGCCAGAACACATCTTTGTTGTCCAGAAAAACAGCTTTTATATCTTGAATTAATGGTGAGAGCCCTTTGTTTTCTTCCTACACTGATCATGACCCATGAAATCATCCATCCATCTAATTTTGATTGGTCTCACCATACCTTTGAAGTCACAGCATGTTCCCTATACATGAGGATGATTGATTAAATTTCCAATCCACCCCATTAGCCATACGGCTCCCTGGATAGGTTACAGCAACAATATACAAAATAAAATACAAAAAAGAATAAAATACAAATTAAAATACAATATAAAACAATTACAAATAAAAACATTAGAACCAACATAAGATGCTCCACAGTAGTGACATACCCACAGTTAAATGCTACTTAAAACAAGTTAACTATTAAAATACCATTGAAATAAAAAGGGGTTTGCCCGGTACATAAAAGACTGCAGAGAGTGTGCCAGGCAGACCTCTCTGGGGAGCTTGTTCCAAAATCGGATGCCACTGCAGAAAAGGCTCTTCTTTGTGTTACCAGCCACCTGATTTCCTGAGGAGGGGGTTCCTTCAGAAGGGCCTCATATGCAGATCTAAGGTGCTGGGTAGGTTCATATGGGAAGAGGCACTCCTGCAGATACCCTGACCCCAGGCCATTTAGGACTTCAAACATCAGTGTTAACACCTTGAATTAGGCCCGGACCTCTACTGGGAGCCAGTGAAGATGGTAGAAGACTGACTTTATATGATTGTATTGGACAGTGCTCTGCTCACCCTGTTCTGCCCAACTGAAGTTTTTGGAATGAAGGGAAGCCCCATGTAAAGTGCATTGCAGTAGTCCAGACAAGAGGTTACCGGTGCTTAAGCTGATAGAAGGTGCTTCTGGTCATTGAATCCACCTCAAATTGCAGGGATAATTCGGGGTCCGGAAGCACCCTCAAGCTTCAAACCCTGCCTGTTAAGGGGAGTGTGACCCCATCCAGGACAGGCAAGATGTCACCCATCTGAACAGACGAACTCCCCACCAACAGTATCTCCGTCTTACATGGAATAAGTTTCAGTTTATTAGCCCTCATCCAATCCATTATTGAGGCCAGGCTCTGATTCAGAACATCCATAGTAGGTAGAATTCCTACATTTTCTGATGACCTCACCCAGTGGTTTCATGTTAAAAAGCATGGGGGCTAAAATAGAGCGCTGCAGAACTCCATGGCATAGATGCTATGGCACAGAACAATAATCCCCCAGCAACACCTTCTGGACATAACCAGTCAAGTAGGAGTGGAACCACTGTCTCCTACTCCCAATTTGACTAGCCTGTCCAGAAGGATACCATGGTTGATGGTATTGAAAGCTGCTGAGAGGTCCAGGAGAACCAACAGGGTTGCACTCTCCCGGCTCTCTCCCAGCATAGGTCATCCCATGGGGTGACCAAGGCAGTTTCCATTCCAAATCCAGATCTGAATCCTGATTGAAATGGATCAAGATGGTCTGCTTCATCCAAGATAGCCTGGTGTTAGTGAGCCATCCCCCACTCAAACACCTTGCTCAGGAAGGGGATATTAACAACTAGTCTATAATTGCTCCTTCTACTGAGAAGGAGAACAGTCTAGCCTCTGATAAGCTGGCTAGAAAGTGTCACAAACTGTTCTGCAAAAAGAAAAGAGTAGAGAGGATGCAAAGAGCATGTTGTTTTTGTTTGCTTTTCATATCAACAGCTTCTGTCTTGGAAGATTACAGGTGCCCATCTATGAGGAATGGGAGAGAAGTAGATTTAGAGTGGTCTCTTTTAGAGCACCCATACTTATCTTCCTTTTCTCCAGAGTCCAGTGGATAGGTGAAGGGATTGCACAGTGACTGGGCCCAATCAGAACATCTTAAAGATACTTTGGCTTGTTTGAACCATAGTGATCACACAGACTGAGCCAATAATGATTTAAATAGGAGGACTATCTTAACGACAGGGTTCACACTATATCACAACTAACTGCAGATAGTTACCCCATGAATTTCCACAGAGCGTTTTAGGGGTTATTTATACTCTGAGAGGTGGGCATGTTTTCTGAACCAAGGGGAAGAATTTCACCATGGGTTGCTGGGATCAGCTACAGAGCTGCTTGGCAAGAGCAATGAAATTCCTGCTGCTCACTGTAGTCTTGCTGGTGTCAAACAGAACTTTGGAATGAGCTTCACCCATTTGCCAATGTTTTGGCGACTGAAAATTGTACAAATGCATTTATAATTTTATTTATGTGGCCTGTCTTTTGTGAGTGCAACATGTTTTATGTTTCAGCTGTCCAAAGGAGCACTGAGGTAAAATATAGAACGTGCAAGGAAATTGAAGAGATGAGATTGTGTATATGCAAATTTGTGCACAATTGACACAATTAACACAATTGTCAAGGGAGAAAAACAATACTAAGGGAGAGGAGAAACCCATTTGTGGCATACAAAACCACCAAACATGGGGGAAGGAGTGGTAGAAGTAGGTGCAGCAAAAGGTGGAGGGATGACAATGTCTGCCACGTAACAATATTTTTTCTTGATTTAAAATGTTCTCTGTGTCCTCCACTTTTTTTACACTTTCCTGACTTTGCAGCTAGTCCTTGTTTGTGGCTTTTTTTCAGAGCACTTAATTCCTGTGGTCACTGTGGTTTCCTGGTAGTTCTTAAACTCCTGAGAAGGCAGCTATGAATGGGACTGGTGCTGCATTAAAGGGGCAGGTGATGATGCCCCATTTGCTCTTCCTGCACTGCCATCTCTAGGGTTTTTTTTAAACTGTCCAGAATATTTAACATTGCTAAATAGCAAATAACCAATATGGTGTAGCTTATTCATGTGGTGGGAGGGGCTTAGTATTACGCACAAATCTGCCTGTTATGTTGGAACAGTTCAGAGAGACAACAGGCACTTTACTCATGTTAAGGTATTTGAGACCAAAACTGGAATTGCCATGATAGAGCAGCCCATCATGAATAATGACACAATTGGTTGTCATAGTGTGCAGAGCTGGACTGTTTCATGCAGGATTGCTTAGTTTGGAGCAACAAGCTATCATCACAACCCATGGTTTATTCTAGGGAACGTTGAACCCAGCAATCACTCTTGTCAGACTGGGATTTTGACCAGGACATAAATTGATTTCATAGCAAGAACATAGGCAGGAAAAAAAAAGATTCCGTTACGCCCTGGGATATCCATTAATTTTATCCAGCTCTGTGAGGTTTCTTTGTCAGTCCCCCCGCCCCCCATATATGCTTCCCTTGCCCCTAACTCTGAAAGTGGCAGCTTGAATGGGATAGAACCATTAGGGTAGGTGGGTATACTCAGCTCTGGGGACATGGCTGAATTTGTTGGAAAAGTAAGGGTATACTTACTTTTGGTTCATTGTTCCATTCAGTAATTTGTATGTCTTTCACAAATGCACATTTTCACATTAGTGAAGAATAGAAAAATACATTCTAAAACTCTATTTTTACAGTAGGGCTCCATAAAAGTACAGTAAAAATACCTGTCGACATCAATGGCTGCTTTCAGAGTTCAGAAGCTGTGAGGAAGCATTGAAGTGGGGTAGGTGGGGAACTGATAAATGCCAATTCAGGACCTGCCAGGCTATCAGGACATTGACAAGTCAGAATGTATTGCCTCCCCCTCTTTGATCACAACCTCATTTTAAAGCAATTCATACTTTTTTACTGCTTCAAAAATACACAAATGTGTGTGCATTTATTTTCCATGGACCTTCACAAGTGCACAGATTCACCTGTTTTCTGTGTACACCCTGCAGTAGTACATTAGCTTTGCCAGGTCCTTGTAAATTTAAGGGTGGTGAATGCATTCAGGACATTGCTAAATGCCATTCTGTTTTGGTGGAGGTGCACTGATGAGGGAGGAAGGAGGCTGAAGGTGGCAGTAGTAAGAAGGTTTGGGTCTTTTTCACTTTTCATTGCTCTTGTCATGTAACTCTGTAGATGCTTGAGACAGGACATTGTACAGGGGCTGGATGTCATGACAAGCCATCCTAAAATTAAGCCACCCTCAACAACATGCCTTGGGTTCTCAAGGTGACTTGTGTGTGGTTATTAAACCATGCTTGAATTGTCCCTGCCAGGTTTGCATGGCATAGTGAGCTATACCTATACAAACAGAGTTCACAACACACTTTCAGTTTGCCAGTCAGTGCTGCAAAGATTGGAACTGTGGGGGTAGAGGTCATAATGATGTTTGGTAGGATATGATAAAGGGTATGTTCTAAAAATCCAAATGTGTTTGTGCTTCTTGACCTAATTCACTCCCCACACAGATTTTGAAGGTCACTGTGATTGCACTTGATGGGCTTGGGCCCTTTCCTTCTGGTGGTCAACATAAGTCATGATTGTGGTAGCTGCTGAAGGTACTTCCTGTTTGTTTTTGGCTCTCTATTGAACAGAGGAGAGTTCAGGAAGTTGCCTTATGGTAAATTTTACTGGAAAAGATAAGGCCCACTTCTTTCTAGTATTGGTGTCATTAAGTTTTCATACATTTGGTTTTTAAGAGATTCTGCTGCTGGATTTAGCAGTGTTTAGGTTCCAGTGGAAGTGATGTTTGCAAATCAGCAATCTGACTAAAAGTATTCCTTTTGTATACTTTGTTGGACTGCTTTCAAATTGCCTGTGTCAACTCTCCAATTTTGAGAACCTGTAGATCAGTCTTCTCTGGCCTGGCTGCCTTAAGATGCTTTGGACTGCAACCACCAGGATTCCCGTTGTTAGCTATGCTGGTTGGGGCTGATGAGAGTTGAAATCCCAGTGACCTGGAAAGCACCAGGTGTGAGAAGGCTGCTGTAAATAACAAATCACTGTCTGAACATAATGCAGTAATAATTTTCAAAGCTTTCTTGGGTAGAAAAAGTTAATGCAGTGGTTGGAATAAATGTTACTTTTTAAATGGAGATGACTCGTGAAAGCCTGTACATTTAATAATAACTTTAAATATATAATATTAAACAGATGTTAATGCTGCAAATCTGCATCATGACCTTGGACTGCAGTCTGTCTCTCTGTCTTTGTCTGTCTGTCTCACCCCTCCCTCCCCCACTGGTGTAGTTGAATTATATGTATGCTTTTATTATTGCAAGCCACCTACAGTTTTTGATCAGGTACTATTAAGTCAAATTATCTCACTAGCTTTGTAGAAATTTCCATTTGGTTTCATGTATCTAGACTTGTCTGTTGAACAAGCTATAATCCTTTAGCCATTTGAAACATGATTGCTTGGATCCAAAGAACTGCAGGCAAAGTTCTGTTCATGGAAAACATTTCATTATATATTACCTTGCATCCTCTGAAAACTGAAGAAAGGAGTGCAATATGGTGTGGGGGCTGAAGCTGTGTATGAATGTGAGGGTGTGATTTGCTTAAAACTGGAGACAAACTTGCTTGCATTAGAGGCTCCTTGGATCCAAGTAAGTGTATCTGCGTGAGAGCCTCATAGGCTAGCCAAGTGCTATGGGTTTTAATTGGGAAATACTGGTGGCTAATCTATTTTTAGGGTTCTGATGATTGTCTTGTGAAAATCTGGGCAACGGATGATGGAAGGTTGCTTGCCACTTTAAGAGGACATGCAGCAGAAATATCAGACATGGCTGTTAATTATGAGAATACCATGATTGCTGCAGGGAGCTGTGATAAGATGATCAGAGTGTGGTGTCTCCGAACATGTGCCCCTTTGGCTGTTTTGCAAGGCCACAGTGCATCCATAACATCACTGCAGGTAATAGACTACTTCCTTATATAGCATGATCTAGAAAGGTAATTTTGTTGAAAATGGATATAGAAAATGGATTGAGTAAACAGTTTGAAAAGTGGAGGACAAAGCTCAGTGATTCCTTAAGCTTCCTTAAGCATATTTATTCATGTTCAGACTGATCAGGCCTTAGCATAGACAAATGCATGAATGAATTATGTCTTGATTGGAATATTTTGCATTTTTGTGTTAAAGGTAACAAAGATTTTTAACATGAATGAGTAAAACTGTATAGAGGAAGTACTTGTGGCTTTATGTAAGTGTGTGTGTGTGTGTGTGTGTGTGAGAGAGAGAGAGAGAACACGCAAGCAAGAGCATGAGCATGTGAGGGGATTTGTGCTTTCTGACAGTTTTGCATGTGTCTGATTAACTTTTTATAGAAGTAGTAATTATGATAGAAACTGCAGTTTATACTGAATCATTTGGATCACTTGTTTCCACTGTTTGCTAAAATTATATATATATATATACACACACACGCGCACGCACGCACATACACACACACACACATATATAATATAAATAGCTTTATTTGTTTTTCAGTTTTCTCCACTATGCAGCGGCTCAAAGCGATACCTGTCTTCAACTGGGGCAGATGGCACAATATGTTTTTGGTTGTGGGATGCTGGCACCCTTAAAATAAAGTTAGTTTCTGTCTTATATAGTCTTAAACTTATACTGTGGAATTTAGAAACACTGCAACTGGGCAGCCATAAGAGGGATGGTATAACTCTGTGTCTGCAATGAGCAGGGGTTTGGATACAGTGGCCCTCTGGCCCCTTCCAACTCTACTAGTCTGTGTTTCTATGTGTTGCTTTCTGGGTGACTTTTGGAAGCTGGTTGCTTCTGTTTTGATTTGCTGTTGTTAGCTTTTAATTTTTACTGATAATATGCTAGAAAATAAGTAGAAGAAGATGCTGTAAAACTGACAGTAAAATTCTTTTCGTGTCCACTCATAAGTATGTCCCATTGAATTCAGTGGTTCAAATGACTTTGCCCCAATCCCGCTTTTGAAATAATCCCAAAGCATTTCAATTCATTCAGCTTACAATGTTGTTACCTTTTACCAAATAAAAGAGGTTTGGAATTAAGTCTGAGCTGCATTTTAAGATTATGTTTACAGTGTCTTGCAGAAGTATTCACACACCCCTGCGACTTTCTCATATTTTGTTGTGTTACAACCTGGCATTGAAATGGATTTAATTGACTTTTTTACCACTTGATGTGCAAGATACTCAACTGTGAAGATACAAAACATGTTTATTGTATCACAAAAGTTAAACAAAAATGAACTGCTACTGTTTTGATTGCATAAGTTCTTACTGCATTTGCTGTGACATGCAGTGTAACTCACAGAGTACTCTTAAGTAGTTCAGTGGAGGCTGCCTCTGTGCAATCCCAATGTAAAATGATCTCAAATTCATCTGTTTCTGAAGGGTTCCAGAGTTCTTTGGAGAGCATATCTAGACAAACAGCTTCAAGGAACTAGAACAAAGAGCTATCATTACACTTCTAGAATAAAGTTGTACAGAAGCACCAATCAGGATTATTAAAAAAAAAAAACAATAAACATCCCTCAGAGCACATAAACCCATAGCCTTTTGGCTAATGGGGTGGGTTATAAATGCATGCATGCATGCATGCATGCAAAATTGAAAGAATATTAAACATGACTGTACTTAGAGAAGGCTATCCACAAAAACTCAGTGATGGAGTGAGGAGGGCATTAGTCACAGAAGCAAGCAGAGACCACTGGTAACTCTGAAGGAGGAGACATCTGCAGCTGAGATGGGTAAGACCCTTCCTTGGTAACAGACATCAGATGCTCCACAAAGCTGGACTTTATGGAAGTGGAGAAAAGAAAGCCATTGCTGTGCCAAACCTTTTTCAAATTCCATTTGCAGTTTGTAAAAAGGCATGTGGGAGACACAGGAACTGAGTGAGAAAAATTTTTCTAGTCTGAACTTTTTAGGCTTGCTGCATGTACAAGGCAAACTGTTCATTTGCTTGAGAACACCATTCCATGGCAAAGCATAGTGGTGGCACCTTTATGTTACGGGGATGCTTTTTGTTGGCAGGAACTGGAAATGTGGTTGGTATTGAGAACAAGAAGGATGTAGCCAAAGACAGGGCAATTTTTGAGGAAAAGCTGCTTCTGAGAGAGATGGGATCTTGGTGGAGGCTTGTCTTCCAAAGGATGATGACTGTAAACCTATAGACCAGCCTTCCCCAACCTTGTGCCTTCCAGGCATGTTTGGACTGCAACACCCAGAATTCCCAGTCAGTGGCTCTGCTAAATGAGAGTTCTGGAGTTTTGGTCCGAATGCCTCTGAAGGCCACCAGGTTGGGGAAGGCTGGTATAGATGAAGCAGGAGTGTGGTTTAAAAAGAACTGGAATGTCTTTGAATGGTCCAGACCTCAATCTGATGTGAGCCGTCCAGAGACATGTGAGCTGTCCAGAGACAAAAGTGGATGGGCTAGAAATATCCCAAATAAATAAATAAAATCCCAAAGTAAGCCTAGAAAGCTGTTGTTCACTAACGGTCCACAGCCAGCTTGACACAGGTGGAACAAATTTATCAAGAAGCACTGCAGGATCCAGATGTGCAAAAGACACTTAGCCAGAAGGCCCACAGATAAACTTTCACCAAATATTGAATATGTATGCAATCACAATTGCCACAATTTTTACTGACTTAACTTTTGTGCCACAATAAAAAAAATTTTTGTACTGTTGCAGTGTTAAGTATTTTGTGTACATAACAAAGCCAACCAAATCCCATTTGATTTCCAGTTTTCTAAAATGTGGAAAACAGGATCAATACTTTTTCAAGGCATTGCAGAAGCTCTAAAAACTAAATCCATAACTATCAAACACACTGGACCTGTTTGCACAATATGAGAGCCCCCCATGGCTTAAATTCACTCATGGAGGCTGTTGCATTGGGGCACACATGGTGCCTAGCATTGTTGTATTTAGAAGTCAGGCATTTTCCCCAGATGGTTTTTTAGACAGAAAATCAAGTTCTAATTCATTGACCTGTAGTATATGACTAAGCCTACTGTGGCTTAATTTATTCATGGGCACTAATCCTTTTTTCCTATATTTTATAGTATAGGAAAGGATAAGGTTTACTTTGCACGCCCCCAAACACTCAGATGCACAGTGAATACACATACTGGTGGTTCACAATGGAGCTGTTACTCCATGGCTTGTTTGGAGACTTGTGTCTACCTTCTATGTTTTACATATTTACTGCCCCTATATATTTTTGGTGCTGATGCTGATGTGAAATATATTTTGACAAACTAAGTAAATGGACAATTAAAGTGCATTCAAACAGAAGCAAAAAGCTACAGCTCTGCAAAATACTGACAAGCCCTACACAGAAGTGGCTTCTAATGCTATTTGACCTTTATCTTGTTTCTGTGAATGTTTATTGATATAAAACTATCCAGTGTTTCACTTAAGCAAGGTAGTGTTTGCTGTTGTATTATTAAGGAGGATGTACAGTAGTCTAAATTTGAATACTACAAGGCTGTATAGATAATACAGTTAAATGTGTTTTTTCTGGAATTCTGATGCATAGAGGGTGCATGTGTAAAATTACATGAGGCTTTGATTTGTGATAATCTATGTTTTGCAAGAGATGGGATGTCTGCAGTTCTGCAGAAAAAAAGCAAATTGTCAGTCACCAACATTATGCTATTCCATTGGATTTTTATTTTGCCCATTGCAGACTTTTCTGAAAAAAGTGGTAGAGACAAATTGGTAAAATTCTACCACCTGCCCATTTCTAGCATGAATTCTTCCTCTTGTGTAGGGAATCTTGGGATCCAAACCAGAGAACATTTAGCATTTTCAGTGGAATTTTGGGAGGTTTGCTATATGAGTAATATAGAAAATTGTATTATTGCTATATTACCTAAATGAATAGAGACTCTTAGTCTCTTTTTTAAATGTACCTTTTGGCCTATGACAGTACAATAAACTTTATTCAATTTAATCCTTTTATTTTGAAGCTAATGAAAAGTTCAGTTGCCATCTTAAATTGCTTTTATGCATCTTTCTTTGTATTGTGTTATTTAAATCTTGCAGTCCAAGACCAACCAAATTTACAGAACGTCCAAGACCTGGAGTCCAAATGATCTGCTCTTCTTTTAGTGCTGGTAAAGTGTTCTGTGTTGCTCCTCCCACCCTCTCACAACCTCTCCAGTATTAATGGTATTGCTGAATAATACAGATTGCTATTCATAACTGAAATTTATTCTACACACTTTGCCTGTGGCATCATTCTAACTGGAAGTTCTAGACAACTGAAGTGTATATATTGGTTTTGTTAGTAAAGCACTGAGAATGAAATATTTGTGATTTTGCATTGCGATAGCATTTTTAACTGATATATGTCTGCATCTGTTGCCAGGGGAAACTTCATTGCTAAAATATGCCATGTTAGGGGTAGCATCTAAAATGGTTTCTAGAAATTATCTTGATAACTAATCTATTTATTATTTGATTTATACGCCGTCTTTTATCAAAATGACACTCAAGGTGGCTTGCAAACAAAAATATAACATTTGTAGTGTAAGAACATTACTCAAATCACACATCTACTTACACACCAAAAACTGCCTTAAATAAAACAATACTTATCTGCTGTTGGAAGTATTGAACCTAGCTCTCCCTTTGGCAGGGGTTCCATAGGCTGGAATTAGCTGCCTAAACAGCTTTCTTAAATTAATACCAAATGTTTCTTTGGTGGTGGTGGTGGTCCTGAAAGAAGGACCTCTTCAAAAGTTCTTAAGGGCAATGCCTGCACATATGGGAGAAGACAATTTCTCAACCTGGTTCAGCATTTTGAATTTTGCTTGGAAACAAAATTGTAGCTTGTGAAAACTGCTGTAACAAAGGATATGCATGTTCCTTGAAATTGGCTGTGGTCAACAGACTGGCCATAGCATTCCGGACCAGCTATGGTATTCAAAGGCAGTTCTATGTACAGTGCATTACAATAGTCCAGATAGGATATAGCAGAAGCATATGTGATCATGGTCAGATCGAACATCTAGGAATGGACACAATGGGAGCACTAGTTTTAGCTGTCACTACCAAGATGTGGACATCTAATTTCAGGGACAAATCCAAGAGTACACCCAAACAGCAAGCCTAAGTTTACAGAATGGGTGTAAGTCATGTAGTAGTAGTAGTAGTTGTTTAGCAGAGTCGCATCCGACCCATCGCTACCCCATGGACAACATTCCTCCATGCTCTCCTGTCCTCCACCATCCCCCGGAGTCCACCTAAGCTCACACCAGCTGCTTCAGTGACTTCATCTAGCCACCTCATCCTCTGCTGTCCCCTTCTTCTTTTGCTGTCAGTAGTTCCCAGCATTAGGGTCTTCTCCAGTGAGTCCTTCCTTCTCATTAGGTGGCCAAAGTATTTGAGTTTCATCTTCAGCATCTGGCCTTCTAAAGAGCAGTCAGGGTTGATCTCCTCTAGAACTGACCGGTTTGATCACCTTGCGGTCCAAGGGACTCGCAGGAGTCTCCTCCAGCACCACAATTCAGAGGCCTCGATTCTTTGGCATTCAGCCTTCCTTACGGTCCGCTTTCACAGCCATACATTGCAACTGGGAAAACCATGGCCTTGACTATAGGCACTTTGTTGGCAGGGTGATGTCTCTGTAGTATGCTGTCTAGATTTGCCATAGCTTTCCTCCCCAGGAGCAAGCGTCTTAATTTCTTGGCTGCAGTCACCATCTGCAGTGATCTTGGAAGCCAGGAAAATGAAATCTGTCATTACCTCCATTTCCAAATTTGGAAAACTGTTGAGTTTACCAAATTTGCTGGCATATTTAGTGTAGCACTTTAACTGCATCGTCTTTTAGGATTTTGAATAGCTCAGCTGGAATACTGTCTCCTCCACTAGCTTTATTGTTCCTAAGCTGTATATTCATCAGGAATATGATTTAGGTCATACCTGAGTGGCCTAGTGCTTTTCCCTACTTCCTTTAATTTAAGCCTAAATTTTGCAACAAGAAGCGCATGATCTGACAGTTCCTGGTCTTTTTTTTTACTGACTGTATAGAGTTTCTGCACCTTTGGCATCAGAGCACATAGTCAATCTGATTTCTGTGTTGACCATCTGGTGATGTCCATGTGTAGAGTCATCTCTTGGGTTGTTAGAAAGAGTGTTTGCTATGACCATCGTATTCTCTTGACAAAATTCTGCCAGTCTTTGCCCTGCTTCATTTTGTACTCCAAGGCCAAACTTGCCTGTTATTCTGGTTATCTTCTGGCTTCCTACTTTAGCATTCCAATTCCTCATGATGATAAGGACATCATTTTTTGGTGTTAATTCTAGAAGGTGTTGTAGACCTTCATAGAACCGGTCAACTTCAGTCTCTTCAGCATCAGAGGTTGGGACATAGACTTGGATTACTATGATGTTTGGATTACAGTGATATTGAATGGTTTGCCTTGGATTCGAATTGAGATCATTCTGTCATTTTGGAGATTGTTTCCCAGTACTGCTTTTCCTACTCTTTTATTGACTATGAATGCAATTTCTTTTAAGGGATTCTTGCCCGCAGTAGTATGTAGTAGTACGTATACCTGATGGTCATCTGAATTAAATTCACCCATCCCTGTCCATTTTAGTTCACTGATTCCTAAGATGTCGATGTTCAGTCTTGTCATCTCATGTTTGACCATGTCTAGCTTGCCTTGATTTATAGATCTTACATTCCAGGTTCCTATGGAGTATAGATCTTTACAGCATCGGACTCTCCTTTCACCACCAGATACCATCTGCAACTGAGTGTCTTTTCGGCTTTGACCCAGTTGCTTCATTCTTTCTGGCGCTACTAGTACTAGCCCTCCGTTCTTCCCCAGTAGCATATTGGACACCTTCCGACCTGAGGGCTTATCTTCCGGTGACATATCTTTTTGCCTTTTGGTACTGTCCATGGAGTTTTCATGGCAAGGATATTGGAGTGGGTTGCCATTTCCTTATTCAGTGAATCAGCTTTTGTCAGAGCTCTCTGCTATGACTTGACTGTCTTGGGTGCCCCTGCACAGCATAGCTCATAGCTTCATTGCACAAGCCCCTTTGCCATGGCAAGGCAGTGATCCATGAAGGGGAATCCATGTAGTACAGGTTGGTTCTCCGATCTGCTTTTTTACTGACCCGAAACACCTCTCTCTTGACTGGCTTACGAGCTTCAGTTTGCTATCTTTTAGTCTTTTACTGACACTAGGCACTGATTTAGGAGTAGAATAGTTACCTTTGATTTAGATGGAAAACAGAGATAGAGTTGGGCATTATGAGCATACTGGTGGCACTGGATGTGAAAATCAGTATGTAGGGTCAAGATGAGACACTGAGGCCACTACAGATGAATAGCCACCGCATTGAACAGGAATCTCTCAGTACCACCTTCTGAGATCTCTCTAAAAAGGAATGGGGCCACTATGTAACCGTGCCTCCCAGTCCCATGTTGGACTCCCCAGAAGGAAATATGGTCAGTGGTATGGAACCCATTAAATGGTGCAGCAGAACTAACTAGGCATACTCCTTCTGTCCAGTGTCCACTGTTCCATAAGCAGGCCTGAGATTAGATTGAGATGGATTTTGATAAATAGTTTCACCCAGTTTCACCCAGAAATCCTTGTGCTGAGAAGCCATTACACACTGTAGTATCTCACCCAAGAAGTTTAAAGGGGAAAAAACCCTCAAATGGCTTAAAATCATAACCCCTGGCCTAAAGGATATAAACTTGGGGTGCTTGTATCCCCAGGGAGTGCAAGATGGTATTTCAGGGGGTGCGACAAAGAGGAAGGCTGTGTCATAATTCAGCAAAATTGAATTTTATGCACTGAACTTTAAATTGAATGTTATGCACTGAGTTAAATTTATTTGAGTTTCTTTAATGGAAAATAAAAATGAATATTGTTTGAGTACAATTTGTTCACCTACAGTACTGTATGTGGTTCAGTTTGTGGTTCAAAAATTGGAAATTTGACTTCTTCATCTTCAAATGTGATACTGCTTTTTTTAGGGGGTGTGAATATCAAACATTTTCTAGTGGGTGCGGGGCATAGAAAAGCTTGGGAACCACTGCTTTAGGCAAATCTGGAATCATACCTTATCACAAAGAAGCATTCACTGCTGTCCTTAACTACCCACTTAGCCAGTCCCACTTCTCTAAAACACAAAGGGCAAGGGTCTACTCCACAAGTGGTAGGCTTCACTTGTCAAAGATTGTCTGCATCCTTGGGTTGTGCTATTTGAAAAACAGATAATAAAGATTTGAAGAGCTGTCATTGAATTAAAGTTAGCCATTGTTTTGGTATTAACATATTTTAGCCATAGTGTATCTGTCACGAATAGTACATTGGAGCACTTGTTAGAAATTAAGATATAAGATGGTCAAATTGCTAGCTGGATAGAAGTGTGATGACATTTTCTTTATCCTTGTTTTTCTTCAGGTGGAATGTTTCTGGCTACTGGAAGTACAGATCACATCATTAGGGTTTATTTCTTTGGATCAGGTCAGCCAGAGAAGATATCAGAGTTGGAGTTTCATACTGTAAATACCTCCTCAAAATTGCTTAGCTATTTGTTTGAAATGCATTGACATCTTGTCATGTTGTTAATTTTATTCTTGTTTACACAGGACAAAGTGGACAGCATTCAGTTTTCTAATACTAGTAACAGGTAAGCAATTAATCATTTGCTATATCTTCAGTTTTTCCCACTTTGTATTTATGAAAAACATGTTTTGGATGTAATACCAAGTGGCATGGCTGCCTTTCCCCCTTCTACTCAGCAGTTCCTTTTGAGCGTGACATCGAAACCCAAATCATTGGGTAGTTAAAGGGCTAAGCAATCCAGTGGCTAACCTATGGTTTCTTATTGGCTTAGCCACTGGGCATTTAATGCTGAAACAAACAAGACATTTGGGTTCAGGTATCATGCTTAGCAGGAGCCACTTGTGGGTTGTTGAGCTAATCATAGGTGGTGGAGTAGATTGGAAGACATGCACACCCTGCAAGGAGTGTGTCTGCACATCTCTGACAACACATCAGTTTCTAAACTAATAGGTTGTCATTATGTATGAACACCCTATTGACCTCGGTTGTCCATAGTGGTTAAACCATAGGGTTTACACATAACAATCCATGTTTCAAAGGCAACCAGCAGGGGGTTGGCCTCCTGAATATCCTGTACTATGCCAGAATGCTGCCTAAAGAACAGGAGTGATGGAGGCAGTTTACCATTTCCCTTCCAAATAAATAACTTAAACGTGACAGATCCCTCACCCCATCTAATTTCTCAAGGAAACAGGTGATAGAGGGTTCATAAGATTCTGCAGATCCTGGCCTCTAGTCTTCTAATTTCCTGCTTACTTGAACCTCTGTGAAATCATCCCATGTTGCTGTTGTGATCTTGGTAAGCAGCTGCTCCAACTCTTTCTATGGTGACTGTGAGACGATGGGAGGGATCCAGTATTAGATTTCTCCTTCGTTGTGGCCTCTGTGCATCATACATGTGGGATTTAACCCATGAATTGCCACTGTTCTATGCAAAGAAGGCCTTTATTTCTTAAATCCTTTCTGAATCAGAAAGGAGTGATAAACTTGGTGAGTTTAAAAATTATGTAGTCTGCTTCTCAACTATAATACTTCAGATGGGTAATAACAGAGTGTGAAATTAATGCAGGAATTAAACACATTAACAAAAACCTAAATAATAAATAAAATCAATACAATTCAGCAATGGTAAAAAACAAAATGGCAGTAAAAGAACATAGTAAAAGCACTAGCAAAATACTAAACAAAAGACCAGAAATGGGATACATCAGAAAATTAAAATAACACCAGGCCCAAGAGGAAACACTTAAAATGTCACAGACTCTATTTCAAGCTTGAATAAGGAAGACAATGAGGAACATGGGGGAGATAACAAAGATTCTGGTGGCACTCTCAAGACTAGCAGTTTTTTACTGCATAAATTTTTGCATGGGCAGGGACAGTTCCCCTTATCAAATACAAGAAGAAGATTGTGACTGTGAAAGCTTTTATCATAATAAATTGCTCACTTATTTTATTTATTCCAGAAAACTTCCATACTACTTTTCATTTAAAAAGAAAAAAAAAAAGACATAGCTCACTTTATCCTAATGTGGTTCACAAAGTAAAAATATGATAAAATATAGTGTGTGGTATCCAGCTGTACTTGTTTGCTTAATGACATTGATGTAGAGCCACCATAGGAAACTGCACGATGTCAATAGTGTGTGCTGGCATGATGGGTTTTCAGAAAACGATGGGTTTTTAAGAAAGTAACAGCTTCCTCCTGGCATTCAATATTGGTATTTAGTTAGAGGTCATTTCACAGAATCAAAATAATAGAGTTGGAAGGGGCCCAAGAAGGCCATTGGGTCCAACCCACTGCTAGTGCGGGACATCACGTTATACCACCTCACTCAGATGTCTGTCCAGTTGGATCTTGAATGCCTTAAGTGTGGGAGAGCCCACAACCTCCCTAGGTAAAAGGTTCCTTTATTTATTCAGCCAGCAAAGTTCCTTGAGTGGGTAATGTACTGCTCTAACAATGAGGAAATTTTTCCTGATGGCTAGTCTGAATATGGTTTCTTGCACCTCAGGTCCATTATTCTGTGACCTGATGATCAAGAAAAGATTGTGTCCTTTCTCTTTGTGACAGCCTTTCAAGTATTTGTAGAGTGCAATCATATCGCCTCTCAATTGCTTCTTGAGGCTGAACATGCACAGTTCTCTCAATCTCTCTTCACAGGGCTTTCTTTCCAGACCCTGGATCATCTTTGTTGCATTCCTCTGAACCATTTCTAGCTTTTCTTCATCTTTCTTAAACATTGGTGTCCAGAACTGGACACAGTGCTCCAGATGAGGTCTGACTAGTGCTGAGTATAGGGGAACTAAGAAATTCACATGATTTGGAAGTGATACTTCTATTAATACAGCCTAAAATATGCATGTGCCCTTTTTGCAACTGCATCCGATTGTTGACTTATTTAGCTTGTTTATTTACAACAATACCAAGATCTTTCTCATTTGCAGTATTGTTGAGCCAAGCGTTCCTCATCTTGTAGCAGTGCATTTGGTTTGTTTTTCCTAGGTGCAGGACTTGGCATTTGTTGCTACTGAATTTCATTCTTTTGGTTTTAGCCCAGCATTCTAACCTGTCAAGATTTCCTTGAATCTTCTTTCTGTCTTTGAGTATATTTGCTGTCACACCCAGTTTTGTGTCATCTGCAAAACTGAGAATTGTTCCCTGTACTTCCTCATCCAAATCATTAATAAAAATGTTGATGAGCACTGGGTCCAGGACTGAACGCTGCAGCACCCTACTTGTTACCTCTCCCCAGTTTGAGAAAGTGCCATTGATGAGTGCTCTTCGAGTCTGATTTTCTAGCCAGTGGTGTATCCCTCCTAATAGTTGTTCTATTTAGCTCATTTTTGCTTGTTTGCTCATCAGGATGTCATGGAGCACTTTGCCCAAATCTTTGCTGACGTCAAGATAGATTAATATCCACAGCATTCCTATAGTTCATTAGGGAGTTTACCCAGTCAAGAAGTGAAATTAGATTAGCTTGGCACGTTTTGTTTTTGAGAAATCCTTGTTGGCTTCTAGTAATCACTGCTTTGTTTTCAGGTTATTTGCAGACTGTTTTAGTATTTGCACCAGAATTTTTCCAGAGATTGAAGTCAGACTGACCGGTTTCTAAGTTCCCTGGTTCATCTTTTTTTTTTTTTTTTTTTTTTGAAGATAGGTCCAAGGTTAGCTTTTCCCCAGTCAACTGACACTTCTCTGTCCTCCATGAATTCTCAAATGGACTAGGCAGTAGTTCTTAGAATTCTTCTGGCAACTCCTTTATGACTCTGGGACATCAGGCCCTGGAGATTTGAACTCATTGAACCCAACTAGATGTTCACTAGCACTAACTACATCAGTGGCTTAAATGGATTGGTGATATTACATATTGATCAGTTAAACAGTAAAATATTACATTCAGAAAAATAATACAGCAGAAAAACACCCATGCAATCAGATGTTCTTAGTTGTTGGCAGAAATGTTGCTCATTAGGAGTGTTGTGCCACAGGAGTCTGCTTTTAATACAGTAGAGTAACATGATTTCTCCTCTTGAAGTTAAACACGAGAGGGTGTTCACTATCCAATGTGTAACAGCCAAGAATGGTTTGAGTTTTATTGCCTTTTTTCCAAAGTTGTATTCACCCTAGGCAGACCCTCTGTGTGATTATTCCAGCAATTGGGCATGTTCATATAGAAGCAAGCAGTCCTTCACATATTGAGGTTCCAAAACCATATAGGTCTTATAGGCCAGTGTCACTACTTGAAATTATATTCAGAATCAAAGTAGAAGTTAATGAAGATGTTAAGAACCAGCAAGATATTATCCCTGTTGCTGATACCATTGCTGTGTTCTGAACCATTTGCAGCCTATTTGTGAAGACAGATCCACTACACAGAATCATACAGTAGTAGAGTTGGAAGGGGCCAGAAGGCCATCAAGGCCAACCCCCTGCTTTTGCAAGACACTAAGGTACACCATCCCATTTAGATGACTGTCCAAACACTTTTTCAGTGTCTCCTGTGATGGAGAGCCCACAACTTACCCAGGTAGTAGGTTCCATTGTCATACTGCTCTGACAGTGAGGAAATTCTTTCTGGTGTCTAGTCTATGAATCTGGTTTCTTTTAATTTAAATCTGTTATTCCATGTCTTATACTCTGGAATGAACAAGAAGAGATCTTGTCCTTCCTCTTTGTGGCAGCCTTTGAAGTACTTGTAGAGTGCTATTATATTTCCCCTCAGTCTTCTGGTCCTGAGGGCTGAACATGACTAGTTCTCTCAGTCCTTCCTTATAGGGCTTTGCCTACATCATCATCCAACACATGATCTCAGGGCACTGGACATTACAAAGGTGCCAGGTCCTGACAGTTTACACCTGAGGGTACTTAGGGAGTTGTCGGGCGTACTTGCCTGCCTGCTGGCCTCCAGTTTTTTTGAGGCCTTTTGAAGAATGGGGGAGGTTTCATTGGACTGAAGAGTGGTGTCAGTGGTCCCAGTCTTCAAAAAAAGTAGTAGAGGGGACATGGGGAATTGCAGACCAGTTAGCCTTACACCCATTCTAGTAAAGACAATGGAATTGCTCATAATAGTGAGAGATCTAGTGGCAGTATTGTGGCAGTCAGCTCACAGGGTTTCCCTACAGTTTTGGGAATAGGTTCTTAATACTAATGCATGAATAGAGATGTTACATAAAATAAGATTAATTAAGAGGTACAGTATATGTCAGATTATGAGTGGAAGCTTTGATTTTTGTCTTGAGATAATAGTTCATTGTATTTATTCTCTTTACACAGCTCTTTGGGTGCACCCTGTAGATTCCATGTAGAACTGTTCATCTGTAGCTCAGGAAACCATAAACAAATTAGAGCACTGGTGTATTGCTGTTAACTGTAATAAAGCACTTTGATTTTGGAAGTTGATTAAAATCTCTCTCTGCCCCTGCTTTTTTAGGTTTGTCAGTGGAAGTCGTGATGGGACAGCACGGATTTGGATGTTCAAGAGAAGAGAATGGAAGAGCATTTTGTTGGATATGGCTACTCGTCCTGCAGGGTAACCTATTTTTATTCATGCTGATACATAATTTAAAGTTATACTCTTACTGGTATTTAAGTATAAGTTCGTGTATTGGTTTGCGCCCCTGTCATTATCTGCTATCATCCATTAGAAAGATTTGGTAGAAGGACCTCTACTAGAGAGCTACTGTTAGTCACGCAGTAGACAGTATTGGATTCTGGATAAGAAAATACAGTGGTACCTCAGCTCATGAACGCTTCAGTTCACGACCAAATTGGGTCGCGAACAAAAATTTCAGAAAAAAATTGCCTAAGGTCACAAACTCCACATCAGGTGACAATCGCTATTGGCCCATCTTCCCTGCATGGGCATGATTGTGGTCGTGCTCGGGGGGTATTGCGCAATCATGCTGGGGGTCGGGGGGAGATGGCCGCGATCTTTGTTTTTCCTTGTCACTTTGCTTCACATTTTTGTGAGTAAAAAATAATAGAGAACAGATTAACCTTATTTACATTTAACTTTATGGGGAAATGTGACTTGGCTCATGACCAAGAGTCATGGAACGGGTTAAGTTCATGAGCCAAGACACCACTGTAGTCTGGCCTGATAGAAGTCAGCTTCCCATATATTGGACAAGTTGCCAACTTTTAATGTTGTTACAAAGCAGCTATGCAGGCTGTTTTTCTTTAAATTATTTTAATGACTCTTAAAGTATTTGCTGCACAGAGAACGTAAGAAAACTAAGTGAAAACAGCTATCAGCGATATTAAGAGTCTTTAAATCATTATAGAAACAGTTAATTTTGAAAACAACTTTCATTGCTGTGTGTACTTAGAATTGATGAAGATCTGGCAAATGTAGTACACAAAAAGATGTGTACTACCTGTCTTTTTCAGTGGAGAACAGGTTATCCGTTTGTCCAGCATAATTTCTGTACTGTCTTTTTGTGAATGAAGTAAAAAGTTAACAAATGGTACAAAAATGGAGAGCTTACTAAAGTTGCTAGAATTAAATAGTGTTTAGTCATAATAAGATGATTTTTTGTAGAGATGGGTGACTCCTTTACGCAAAAAACAAGAATTCCAGATGATCTTTTAACCTTTGTTAAAAGGAGGGAAATCGTTTCTTTTCAGTTCCTGCTGAAGTAGCAGAGCCCCATTCAGCCTTTCTTAGCTGTTTACCATACTGTGAAAGCTTTTTCTCTCCTTCACCATGCTGTTACTCATGTTGATTGCTGGGAGGAGATTCTAATGGATTCAGAATATTTTGTTTTAAAATACCATATGCAAAGCAAGGTGAAAAATCCTTCATATTTTTTGGGTGTCCAGTTATTAAGATACACTCAAAAGAGATCTTTGAGGAAAATAAAAGAAATGACAGGGTATAAGATTCTGTACAATCCTGAATATGCTGCTTGAAAGTTGTTTTGAGTAGAGGATATGGAATCTAGGGTCCTTGGGAGGTTGTTTCAGGAGCCATAGGATACTGTGGGCCTTTCTCTTCCTCTGCCCAGTGATCTGCATCTCCAGAAGCTTATTCATTGTGATGATGGAAACCTCCATATCACTGCTTCCACAGGTAGGAGCAGGAAAGGAGCATGTCAGAGGGAGTGGGAGTCTCAGGTTCCTTTTCATCACCTGTTACTTTGACCAGCTTTAGCTGGTAGAACTTAAACAGTGGTGGATTTTTCCCCACCTAGAAACTTTCCCCTGCAACTTCCATTGCATTGTTTTGGCAAATCTATTAAAATAATCTGTTGGGGGTTTAAATACACATCTGTAGCTGTTGAATGATGTCATTGTCCTTTGATTTGTGTTCATTAATTGTAGTCAAACTCTGCAAGGAGTAGAAGACAAAATAACAAAACTGAAAGTTACTATGGTGGCATGGGACCGTCATGACAACTCTGTCATTACTGCAGTTAATAACATGACTTTGAAAGTTTGGAACTCTTTTACTGGCCAACTTATTCATGTCCTTATGGTAAGAAAATACAGCTATTATCCTTTTTTTCATAGTTATACCTGTAGAGGTTATATCATTGGTATGTCATTTTACAGTCTTCAGAACAAGGATTTTTATTATGTATCTAAAAGGGATTGATTGAATATTTTTTCACAATAGAAAATATAGATGAGGACTCTTTGTGAGGTACAACTAGATACGTGCTTTTAAAAATGTACAAATATGTAGGACCTATGTATATAAAGGAGCCATCAGCTACCTATAGTTAAAATATTTTATATTCTATAACACTATCATGTTTGAATGTATCCTGTAGATCTAATTGAGGATTCACAGAAAGTTCTTCTCCATGCAAACACATCCTTTGTGTATAGTTGGAACTTCACTGCAATTTTTTCTGTAGCAATTCCTACACACAAAGAATCAAGTCACTTCTTTAACTGAACAGTATCTTATCTGTTTGGCATTTGAGACTAATACAGCAAAAATATTTTGTGGTGCCCCAGTGTCTCCCATATTGCTGAATTTATTTATTTGATTTATAGTTGTCCTATAATCAAAAAAGAGTGGCTTACAAACCAATTTAAAATAGATTGAAACAGTAAAATTCTTTAAGATAAAATAAAAACAGCATTCAATTGGCAGTCGCACTACAAAGACCTCCTTGAATGAAGCAGACTTTGCGTTCTGTCAGGTAGATAGTGGAGCACCACTGAAAAGGCCCTGTTTTGTGTCGTCACCAAAGACACCTCTGATAGTGTCAGTCTTGAAAAAAGGACCTGTTCAAACTATCTAACGGCTTGAGTAGATTTGTATGGGAGAATATAGTGTTTTAGATTGCCTGGTTCTTAGCTGTATAGGACTTTAGTGGTCATAAACAGTACTTTGTTTCCAGGCAGAATTCAAACTTGTAAGCAGTGAAGCTGTTGTAGGAGGAGAGTCATGTGCTCTTTGTAATCATCTGCAGCTTTCTGGATCAGCTGAAGTTACTGAACATTCAGAGGTAGTCCCCATGCAGAGTACATGACAGTATTATTCACTGATCTAGTAATATTTTAAAGTATTGAAATATTGCTTTTCTGCTCTGAAAGCAGAGTGCAATGAAAACATGCAATGTACAACATAAAAACAAAATTAGAACATTTTTTAAAAAACAGACTGAACAAATTTGAAAGTGAAACAGTACAAATTTATACTGCCTTCCTAAAGCAAAGTAATGATGGAGGAAAGCTGATCTGCTTTGGGAAGGATTTTTCCAGTTGAAGTGCTATTACAGAAAATGTAAAGTTGCCACATTTTCAACTGAATCAACTATTTTCTGTTTCTTAAAAAACATTTCAGGGTCATGAGGATGAAGTATTTGTACTTGAGAGTCACCCTTTTGATCCTAGAGTCCTTTTCTCTGCTGGCCATGATGGAAATGTCATAGTATGGGACCTGGCAAAGGGAGTAAAAATCCGATCATATTTCAATATGGTAAGTATATTAGTTATGGGTATGAAAAGTCTAATGTAGTCAAGTCAGTCCTGAGGCCAAACTAAGGTAATGCTTGTGCAGACTCAGCTTCTTCATTATACGTTGTTATATCCTCCCCAGAGCTGCTGCCTTATCATCTGGATAATTTAATTAATTTTTTTCATATAATCTAATAAGCAGAGTTCTCTGATTAGGTAAAGAAAAAACATGAAGTATAACACAGTGCCAATAACATTATAATATAATAACAAGTATAATAAAGTATAATATAATATCTTTCAGTAAAACAGCACATAACAAAGCCAACTTAAAACCAGCAGCAAAAGATGAAAGCACAAACAATAAAAATCTGCAACAGAATGGAAGTGTTAAAATCTAAAAGAAGTAAAGATCTTAAAGCAACTGGGAGAATCAAAAGATGTTTACTTGAAGCTGAAAAGACCATAATATAGATGCCTTTGTGGGGAAGGCATTCCACAGACAAATCACCATTTCAATCAGTCAATCAATTGTTGTAACCATTGGTCATAACATGACATAACAGTGCAATAAAATGCCATAAAATAGTAATAATAAAACCATGAGATAGTAGAATTATAAAATAATAAAAGTTATGAATAAAAGGTTGCAACGAAGTAGGGTCAGTGCTACAACTAAGAACTTAAAATTTTCTTTCTGAGCTTAAATGTGAGCAAGGCAAAGATGGCAACTTGATTGCTGACAGTTGGGAACATGACTGCAAGAAGGTAGATTAGTTTTTCAAGATCTGAGCCCTTAAGTGCTTCTACATTTAATAATTTGGTCCTAATCTCATTGTGGGATGCAGGTGGTGCTGTGGTTTAAACTGCTGTGCTGCTGGGCTGGTTGATTAAAAGGTCGCCGGTTTGAATCTGCACAACGGGGTGAGTTCCCGTTGCTCCATCCCAGCTCCTGCCAAACTTGCAGTTCGAAAGCATGCAGATGCAAGTAGATTAAAAGGTACCACTTCGGTGCGAAGGTAAACAGCGTTCCGTGCACTTTGGTGTTTAGTCATGCCAGCCACATGACCACGGAGAGTGTCTGTGGACAAACGCTGGCTCCCTCAGCTAAGAAACAGAGATGAACACCACCCCCTAGAGTCTGACATGAGTAGACTTAACGTCAAGGGGAAGTCTTTACCTTTAATCTCATTGTAAATGGGGCAGTGGAGGATGTAAAGAATAATATCCTCCACTTGATCAACACGAGAGGCATTGCTCAACAGGGAACTTACATTATCTCCCTTCAACATATACAGAGATCATTGTCTGCAGGTGCAAAGGTGTTAAAGCCTTTCTCAATGGGGCACTGGCTATGTTCTCCAGGTACTGGGAAAAACCTGTATGTTTTTATACTGATGGTACCAAAGTGAAAATTTGGATGATTGGACTACGGTGGTGTCTTTGTTGGCATCCTTTACAAAAAGCCAATCTCTTATGTTTTCTCTGTCCCAGTATCTGAGTTCATCCAAGGGTTTCAGGGAATACATTTGTAGGATGAGATACAGTAGTTTAGTCCATTGATTTCTGACTTTGTAATGGAGAAAACAGAGTTTGGCAAGGTGGGATTCTTGAAGGGTTTCTAATTTTTTATAATGCCCCAGAAAGGTGTACTCTAACAGCGATAGAAGGTAGCCCTACTTCCATCCTTAAATAGGCAGCAGGCATGCCCTGGGGGAGGCCCAAAATCTTCCTTATGAAGTTGTTTTGGACTACTTCTAATTGGGCAATGGCCTTTTCATCCCACCCCCAAATCTCAGCCCCATACAACATGTGGGCTATCATCTTGCCCTGAAATATTTTAAGTGCAGGGGCAAAAGAATGGTAAAATAGCACCTACTATTCTCTGGGCAGTTATCAAAGCAGTAGATAGGTGTGCTTTCTATGAAAGGGACTTGTGGAAAGTAATTCCCAAGTACTTAAAAGAGGGGCATTGCTCTATTTGTTGAGCCTTAATTGTCCATCTATGTTTGGTATTAGTTTTGTCAAAGATGACCATCTTTGTTTTACTATAATTAAACTTTAGTTTTTCCCTTTCACAGTAAGCAGCTAATCTGGCCAGTAATCTTCTAAGTCCAATCTCAATATAACAAATAAGAGCCATATTATCAGCATTCATTAACACAGAGATTTTCCATCCATTGAAGGGGAGAAAAAGCTTTGTGAATTCATGGCTGCCAACAATATCATTGATATAAAAATTAAATAAATGGGATCAAGTAAGCAGTCATGCTTAATGCCTTTTTCCAATGAGATGGAATCTGAGAGGGACCCTTGTGGGCCCATTCTTACTCAGGCTGTAATATCAGTATATAGTTAAATTAGTATAAGAAGATGCTAATCAATATCACCATTGACAATGCCCCCTCTCGTAGCCAGCTACCTTATTTCATTTGGCAGGAGTATCTGGAAGAGGGCCTTGAGTGATGACCTTATGGTCTTAGTTGCTATATAAGAAGATGCTCTTTCAGATAACCTGCTGGCAAGCCTTATAGATCTTTAAGGGTTAAAACCGGCATCAATAACTAGGGTGTGGAAATGGACTGGTAAGCCATGCAGATGACAGATTATTACTATTATATGATTATATGAGCCAGTCCCAATTAATAGTCTAATCGTCCTGGTTTGGACTTAACTAAAGTTTATAGACAGTTTTCAGAGGCATCCCCATGTATAACTCATTTGCTGGATAACTAGCTATGTAGATTGTCATGTGATGTGAATCTGGACTGCTTCCTTCAGGGTGGCTTGCTTGTGGGCAACAGTCCACTCTGACAACCTATGACTTGTTGTAGACATCGTTGAACCCATAGTCTTGTTGTTCAAACTCTGGTAATCAGCCCCACTGTGATGAGTGATGGGCGAGCCACTTGGTAAGAGTGACAGCATCTTCTTGGTACTCTTGCTGGGGTCAACTGGGCACCAGCAGTTAGAGCTGCCCCGCCAGTGCCCAAGCAGCACAGTGGAGCATGGCTCCCCCCCCCCATGCCAATCATAAGCCCCTTTGTACTTGTCACAGGATATCCCATTCTCTTTTGGAAGTTACTTTGCATGGTTACTCAATTGACTGCTACTGACAGTCCCTCCAATGGAAGTGCTGTCACTGGTTCATCAACTTTTTAAAAAAAAATTAGTGCAAGAAATTTGCACAAATATTTTAATTTAAAATAGAATTTTAGTCTTGTGCAAGTGCAGAGGCACATACTTATGGGGGTCTGAAATAAGAGCTTTCTGTGGGCACTGTCTTGGGAGGTGTCTGTTGTCAAAGTTTAGCAGGCACCAGCTATGGACATACCCAGAGAGGCTGCAAATGGGTTTATGTTTTCCTTAGCACTCTCTTGGCAGCTATGATGAGAGAGCAAAGTAAGGAGGGATCTTTTCTTGTGAAAAGTGGGGGCACCCTCACCATCCACAATGAAGTCCTGAGTTTTTATTGCTCTCTTTGTTCCCTGTGCTCTCACCTTTTCCTGAAACTCTAGATATGCTGCAATGGAGAAAAAAATGCAATCCACCCTATTTACAAGAGTACCTATTTTTGACAGCTGTCAAAAGTAAGTCTTCCTTTTAGCCTTCTGTTTGAGCAAGGCTAAGCTGGATAGTCTGAACAGGGAAACATACAGATTACATTACATTAAAAAGTGTGGTGAACCAGTGGCAATCCTTTCTGTATGTTGCTTAAGCACTTGGGAAGGGCTATCACCTGAAAGACCACAAAAAGAAATTTCAAAAAAGGAGAGGGAGAGCTACAAATAGCACAAAAGGGTTTGTGATCTCAATAGGGAGGGGATACAAGATGTCATTGCCACTAAGTTAGGTTACCAGGTGGATGACTGCTCAGGAAGGAGGGGTACACAAACCATTGAACCTGATCTATGAACTCCCCACCTTGTATAGCTTATTTTCAGTACTGGTTACTGTGTTGTGCAGACTCACCCAATGCAGTAATCCAAACAGGAGGTTGCAGAGTGTGAGTAACTGCTGTGAGGCTATCTCTGTCTAGTTAGGGTAGTAACTGGCAAATCAGTATGCACTAATAAAATGCACTTGAAGCAACTGAGGCCACCTGTGCAAGACTGCACAGTTTATGGACTGAAAACAGCCCCCTCCCCCAATATTTTATATGTCAGCTGCTGTGACCTTATGCTTGCGTATGATATTGCTTCTGCTGAGAGAGAAATAAGAGGCAACTATGAGGAGCCCTGGCTTCTTTTCTTTTTAGAAGTGCAAATGAAGCCGATATTGGAGTGAAATGAAACTGGTAGGGTATATTAGTTAAATTAAATTAACCAAATAATTATGTAAAAAGAAATATATATAATTAATAAGAGTAAATTAAACCAATTTCTTTCATTATATTAATTTCAGTGAAATAGCTTTGGAAACTAGGAGGCATGTTGGAGGGGATGTTTGGAAAGCAATGGGAAATTACTGTCAAGCTCTCTAACAAAGAAAGTAAAATAGAATGATGGTTATGTGTACGCACATGCATGTGTGCACATGTGTTTTCCGTCAACATTGAATATTGTACTCAGGGCCAGAATGATTGTGGACCCTCTGTTTTGGAAGGAACTACCCCGGAGCAAGATGAGCATCACTGACCCAGGCAGAAAGGCTACCCATAGGTTTTCTTTCTTGTCTGGATTAAGACTATTTATTGGCCCTCAACCAGTTCTTTACTGTGTTGAATCACTGATTCAAAACATCAACTTTGTCACCACCTGTATTAGATAAAAACAAGAGATAGATTTGTGTATCATCTGCATATCAGTGAAAACTCAGCCCTCCTCCCCAGGTACCTTTTCCTAGTGGGTTTCATGTAACTATTGAAAGCTATGCAGGGTGTGACCTGAGGAACCATGTAGTGTAACTGCTATGAGACAGACCAGTAATCTTTTAGCAATACCTTCCAACTCTGATAGCTTGTCTAGAAGGATTATAATAGCTGATGCTATCTAAAGCCACTGAGAGGTACACAAGTACAAG